GAAACTTAGTAGAAGAAAGTATTGTCATAAGTGAATTCTGTGGATGGGAGAGTTGGGGAGATGAAGAGTAATACAATTTAGAAATTCCTATCTGTTGCTTTTACTTCTAAAGTGAAACAGGAAACCTCAGCTGGTTACACCATTTATGTGAAACTCAGCCCTTCAGAATAATTGGAAAGAAATTTTTTTAATTTTTAATTTTTTTTCCCCTGAAATCACAAAGGAGATTTTAAGCTTTAGTGGACCCTTCTAAGCATTGCACTCATTTTTATTGAAAACTGTGTGTTCTACCCTGGCTGGTGTGGCTCAGTTGGTTGGGCATCATCTGTGCACCAAAAAGTCGCCTGTCGAACTCCCGGTCAGGGCATGTACCCAGGTTGCGGGTTCGATATCCAGTTGGGGCTTGTTCGGGAGGCAACCAATAGATGTTTCTTTCTCACATTGATGTTTCTCTCTCCCTCCTTTCCTCCCTTCCCTGCTCCCTCTTCTGCTCCCTCTTTCTCTAAAATCAATGGAAACATATTTTAAAAATTGTGTGTTGTGTGTTTTGCCTGTTGGTGTGTTTTAAGAGCGCCCCTCGGTGACCCTGGACCTGGCAGCCTTTGGCATCTGAAACAGCAGTCCCGGAACTCTAAAGAAAATTCTTTCTCAGTGATTCTGGACCCAACTGATGTTTCCGCTAAGACACTTTCTCCTTCCCCATGTGGCTCAGTTCATATTTGTTAGATTTCAATTCAAATATCAGCTCCCACTCATATAGTTTCATAGTACCCTCACTTTTTACCAATAATGCATTTTTTCCGAGTTTGAGCTTCTTGAGGGTGGGGACCGTGTATCTCTTTTCCTCATCCTGTTCTCAGTAACCAGAATAGTGTCTGTCACCTAATAGTTATATAGTGAGTGAATTTGTGAATCCCGTTTATTCTGACTTAGCACAGTTTTTATCAAGTAGTAGGAAACTCTAAGGATGAGACTAGAAATACAAGTGCCCATTGAGAAAACTATAAAATTTGGAGAAAATACTCCTTTGTTTCATTTATTGCCCACCACCACCTTTCTCAAGAGGTTTTGTGGAATGGGGAATAATATATTTAATGTATGATGTTTGTAAAACTTTTAACTGCAAGGGACCTTAGGATTATATGTAGTTACGTATATAGTTATACACACTCACACACACACACACACATAATATTTTTCAGCCTTTGAATTTTAAAGCTGGGAAAACTGAGGTTTGTTAAATTGTATAGCTAATTTGCTGGTAGGTAATAGAATTTGTGTGGGAACTGCTGCCAGACTCCTGAAGATGCAGGTCTATTTGTAAGGATAAGTGAAAGTAAGAATTTACTAAGAAAGGAAAATAATTTTCTTAGTCAGTTTGTGCCACTCCCAATCTCTCTGCAGCCAGGAATCAAGCACAGTTAGGTGTTGACACTCCAGAGGCTCTGCTAGCACGGAATATGGAATATCTTTTATATGTTGAAAGTGTTGTAACGCTCTTCTGTTTTTGGTGACTTAGTGTAGTCTGGGATTAAATCACACTTGTGACACTTATACACAGTGGGTTGGCCCTTGTAGGTGCAGCTTGTCTGTCTCGTTTCTTAAATCGCCCAGTCTTCTGTTTCTACAGCTAGTTTTCCATTTTTTTGGTCTGAGTTTGGAAATATGCCATTCCTTCCTTCATGCACGGGTACATCCAACAAATATTTGTTGAGCACTTACCATGTGACAGGCACTGTCAGAAGCACCAGGGATATAGCAGTGAACAAAAGTGGACCAGGTCCTTGCCCTTGCGGAGCTTTCAGGCAAGTGGGAAAGAAAGAAAGGCATGTGAGGATAGGGCCCCAGGTCATCGTTGTCAACCTTTGATTTTAGAAGCCCTTGACAGTAAGAAAAAGAAAGCAGAACTTTTTATTGATGAAAATTTGGAAGACAAGGATAGAGAAGACAAAGCTATCTGTGGTGAATTGGGACATTTTCTTCTTTTCAGAAAAATCGCTGCTTTCTCTGTATTTCTGGCTTATTCTGTTACAGGCATTGTGCTAAGTGCTTTGTGTACATAGACCCCTATAAGGTAGGTATTATACAATGCGTTTACCCTTGAGAGTAACAGGGCCCAGGGAGGTGCACTAAAGTACTTCACTCAGCTAGTAAGTGGTCCAGCCTTGATTTGCACCCAGGTGTCAGTCTCCAAAGTGTGTGTATCTGGACCAAGTATTGCAAGCTGAATAACCTATATTTTTTTATTAAAACAGTGAAGGCTTTTATGCTCATTTTTTTGCTTTTATTTCATTAACCTGCCAAAACCCTATGATATTTCTTAAAGTTCAGTCACTTTAAAAAAAATGTCTTTATTGATTTCAGAGAGAGGAAGGGAGAGGGAGGGAGAGAGATAGAAACATCAATGATGAGAGAGTCATTGATTGGCTGCCTCCTGCACGCCCCCGACTGGGGGATCGAGCCCGCAACCCGGGCATGTGCCCAGACAGGAATTGAACCCCGATCGCCTGGATCCTAGGTCGATGCTCAACCACTGAGCTATGATGGCCGGGCAAGTTCAGCCACTTTTAACTCCAAGTGTAATGAAAATTTATGTCATATGCAAGTAAATGCAGAATAAGACGTATTTATTATTAAAATAAACTATTTAAAAATGTGATGCACCAAATGTGGTAGACATGAGAAAAATCTGATTGCATAAAATTCATTTTATAATGTAATTTTAATAATAGTCTTCTGTGTGTATCTAAAGTGTGTTGCGAGCACTGTGCTTGCCATATAGTAGGTGATCCAAAAACGGTAGTAATTTTTAGTATTTTAGTTTCCACCTCACTTGTAAAATAGGTAATACTTTTTACTTGCAGGTGAGGCTTGTAAAAATGCTCTAACTGCACGGGTTGGTAACCTGATTCAGTAACCTCGGCAGTTATTAGCACAATATTCTTATGTAGACCACTTCATTTTTGATGTCACTCTCCTTTTATATATCTCCAGGATTTATTTGGGTAAAAGAACATTTTGGTAACTGAGGGCTGTGCCCACAAACTTTAGCATGCATCAGAATCACTTGGAGGGCTCACTAAAAGACGAGGTTCTGATCCCAGCAGGTGTGGGGCCCTGTCTGAGAGTTTGCATTTCCAACAGCTCCCAGATGCTGCTGCTGCTGCTGGTTGTGGACCATAGTTTTAGAACTGCCACTCTAGAAAGTGACATGACTTCTAATTATTGCTGTTCTCTTACAATCACACATGTCCAGTGAGTTAATGTGTGGAATCATGATGTTGCTGCTCTTACTGTGAAATTGATTGTCATATGATGAGAGAGATCTGATTAGTATACATGTAATTGCTCTTAATACTTAAGAAAAATTTCCTAGTGGTTGCTTTTACATTGGAGAATTTCAAAGTGCTGGTTTTAATTTGTTTCTAGTCATCTTTATTCAAGAACACAAAAACACATAGGTTTAATTTTTAGGGGGGAAGCATTATAATTTTGGAATATATTTTACAAGGTAATTTTATCTGTCATAATTGATTTCTGAGAATTATAGGGTATCAGGATGATGTAGCAATTTAAAAATAGTAAAAAACCTTTTCCCTTTGCTCTTTTCAAGAATTTTTATTATTTATTTATTTATTTATTTTTCTAACTCTTGCCCAAGGATATATTCACTGATTTAGAGAGGGAGGGAGGGAGAGAGAGAGAGAAAGACATCAATTTGAGAGAGAACATTGACCAACCGACTACCTCCTGTATGCCCCCAACCAGGGATTGAACCCACGGCCCAGGCATGTCCCGGGAATCGAACCCATGACCTTTCTGACTACAGGACGACACTCTAGCCAACTGAGCCACACTGGCCAAGGCTCAAGAATTTTTTAAGACTAAAATTCGATAGACTAGTATTGAATTCAATTTGTTATTCATCATTTCCACTTATAAAGTAGATGTCACTGAGGATTTCACTTATACCAACATAACAGTTTTACCTTTTCTTTTCAAGCATCACTTAGACCTTTGGGGATATGACGGCATAGAGGGTTATCTCTCCAAGAAGAAGAGGCAATCAGGAAATCTTTGTCCATGAAATTAGACTGAAGCGTACTCTCATTTATTGGAATACCTTTATGTGCCAGGCTCTATGGTGGAGATCGGTGCCAAAGTAATTTATCTTTTTTCATGCAAAATGAGGGGTTTTAGTGGATTGTAAGTTAATATGATCTAATTGCGTGATGAGGTTACTGATAAACCTAATGCAGTCAGATGCTTTATTAATAGTATTAGCATTGTGTGCAGGTCTTGGGAGGTGCAGCTCTGCCGTTTCATTTTGCTAGACCCTGTCTACAGTGTTACATTTGGTTTGGAGCTAAGGAACAAATTGGAGTGGTTCCAGAGGTGAGGAGCCCTGCTGTGGAAAGGTCTGGCCAATTTTGCACATGAGGATTGTTGGAAAATGGGAGTTATTCACTGGGCAGGTAGACATCTTAATTGCGTTTTCAGTTGCCTGCTGTAATTTATAAGATCCATGAGGAGAGGGACATGCCCATCTTGTTCAGTACCATGTCATCAATGTCCCCTACAGTGTCTGCTGTGCATTCAGAAAACAGTTGATCTCAGTCAATTTTGAGGGGAAGAGGTGGTCGGTCACCTTCAAATATTTGTCTTGTAGAAGGCTTGTTAATTAGATTTATTACTTATGTCTCCAGGGGAAAATGGTGGTACCAGGGCTGGAATTTTTAGGCGGGCAGATTTCAGTTTTACTTAAGAAGAACTTTGTAAAACTAGCTTAGCAGTCACATTGATAAGCTTCATGTATTTGAATCCTGTTGTTGTAAATGCTCGGGAAAGGCTGCATGGGGATGTACTAGAAAATATACTTGCTTTTGATAGACTATAGTCAGAATGAGTTCAGCTTTTTATTTTTATTTAAGTATTTCATCAAAAAATAATGTTACTAATAAATGTCAACTTTCTAAGTTAGACCTTTCTTGTCTTTTCAGACTAAAGCAAAGCAAAGAACTGGACAGAGAGAGGGCCCTTGCCAATGAGCAGCTGACCAGAGCTATTCTCCGAGAGAGGATATCCAGTGAGGAGGACCGCACTAAGGCAAAGCGCCTGGTGAGTCCGAAACGTGCCTGGAAACGTCCGCGAGGACACCGCTGATGGCTGGGAACAGCTGAGCGCTCCATGCCAACTTTTAGTGTTGATGAAATTCATGTTCTCTTTGCTTAGATTTCCTTGATTTTACCTTTTACACATAGTTGACAATTTGCTGATATAACCATGAAGGACTTTTTAAGGCAGTTAACTTCAGAATTATTGAAGTAAAGTCAACACAGAGACACAGGTACATGCATGTTGCCTGAAGGGATGTTGTGTGTGCGTGTGTCTCTCTTTCCTCCTTTTTGATTCTATTGTATTTGACATCTCTGGGGGAGCAGCCTAGCTTGTTTCTGTGCCTCTGGCAACCACTGGATGTTAGTCTGGGAAGTCTCCAGCAAAGGTGAGTAAGGTTGTGTCTGTCACTTTCTGGGCTTTACAAGGGGGGAAAACATAGAGCAAGGGCCTTTGGGGACCATCTTTTTTAAGAAAAGAAGGAATTAAAAAACACCTTTTTTTTTTTTTTTTAAATATATCTTTATTGATTTCAGAGAGAGGAAAGGAGAGGGAGAGAGAGAGAAACATCAGTGATGAGAGAGTCATTGATCGAGCCCACAGCCTGGGCATGTGCCCTGACCAGGAATCGAACCCGGATCGCCTGGATCCTAGGTCGACGTTCAACTGCTGAGCCATGCCCGGCCGGGCCAAAAACACTTTTTAAATTTTATTTTAAAGAAAGGATTACATAAACTTGTCTAAAAAATGATTATTAATAGAAAAAGGAAAATTTAAAAGGCACCTGTTAATATGTCATTGTCACGCAACCACTGTTTACGTTGGGGTGTGTTTCCCTCTAGAAATATTAAAAAAAAAAAATGATTTTATTGATTTTAGAGAGAAAGAGAGGGAGAGAGAGAGAAACATCAATGAGAGAAACACCTGTTGGCATGTGCCCTGACCAGGAATCGAACCAGCGACCTCTCGGTGCATGGGATGGTGCTCAACAAACTGAGCCACACCAGCCAGGGCTCCCTCTAGACAATCTTTATTCTTGGGTCTATTCCATATTTAAGAACTTGGATAATGCTGTATATGGTGTTTAGCATCAGGAACATTTTCTTATGTAACTAAATGTTCTTCTGAACATATAGTTTTTAATGGCTGAATAATATTCTGTCTGTTCTGTCCTCTGTGGGCAACATAATTTATTAAATGATTTCCTGTTGTTAGATAAAAGTGGCACTGCTCTGGATGAAGCCTGCCCAACTCCCCCTTGAGCCTTCGTAGAAACCCACATGTAACTTCTCAGAATCCTTAGGGCTCATTGAAGTATAGTTGGAAACTCATTGGGGAGGTAAAGTGTGATTATATATTAGAGAACTGTGAATGCAAGACTGAGGGGGATGTCCTTAGTTTAGCAGACAATTGGAAATTGTTAAAAATTTTAAGAAAAGGGTCAGTTTTTGTTCTTTCCTCTTTTTTCTCTTAGTTCTTTCTTTGAGAGGCTAACTTATGACTATATAGCAATAGAAAAAAATTAAAGGAAGCTAGCATGGAATGAATCCATTACTTCAGTGACTCATCCAGGATCCAGGCTGAATGGGTAGACAGTGAAGCCAGAATCGAGGTGATGGATTAAGAGAGAAATGTCAAGGGACTGGCTGGTGGCCATCCTGAAGGACACACATGTTGAGTGGAACTGTGGCCAAGAGATGCGGAAGGATAGCCAGGGGGATAATTTCAGGATTAACAACATTAAGTGTTGAGTAATTCTGTCACTGACGATACCTGCTGTATTCCTGAGGATCGTTTTCGCTAATGTCACAGCCTCCCAATTTGAGGCCAAGGGTGGAGTGGAGAGGGTTAATAGTGCTTATGCTTTTGGAAGGTGGGGGATCAAGCTTCTTAGTTTCTAGCAGGTAGAAGAATCCTGGGTTGGCATTTTTCTTTGTGCCCCAGGCTTTGTCTCTTATCTTTGAAGCACTCTTTTCTCTACTTCTTTGTGCCGAAATTTGAACATATTGTCTTGTTCTTTTAGTCAAGGGAGACAAGCAAGATTGAGATTTTAAAAAACACATTAAACATACACACAGGCATATGACAAAGCATAAAAAAGTTTTCACAAAAAATGTGAAAGTATAAGAATTTCTTATAGTAACTAAAGTATTTTGTAATATAGCTTGGTTGGAAAAGCTATCTTCAGCCCATTTTTCTCTTCGTCACTTACAAATCTTGTCTGACAAATATATGTATTAACACTTTAAGCATAAGAAACGGGCCTTTTATATTCTGTTTGTTAGGACTCCTCTTTACTGATTCTGGGGATGTAGAATACAGATGGCAAACTACCAAGTTCTCAACTCCTGAATTTCAGCGTTTATATTATAGTATTAGCCAAACAAAGCCCTCAAAGCACTTAGGGAATAAAAGTAGAGTTTATACAATAGGATTATCGCTGAGCCAGATTATCCCATCTCGGCTTGAGTGTTCTCAGACATTGGAGGGATAGTCGTGGCCACAGCAACGTGGCCGCCTACAGTAATTTAGGTACCTGATGACTCCCAACGTGTTTACCAAATTACCCCTTTGTTGTTATTTATTATAGAAAACTTGCATATTCAGTGGGTAAAGATCAGAAAATAACTACAGAAAGTATTAAATCACTGAAATTACCACTATCCAGAGATAATTACTGCTAAGTTTCTGGTTTATTATGTTTATATTTCTTTTCACATTCCACTAAGTCTGTATAAAACATTTATATTTATATGGGTATATGTATATCCCCAAACATAGATGGTAATAAACATAGTCTTGTATAACTTCCAATAACCTTCACATTTAAAAAATTTAGACTACGTGGTGAAGGTCTTTCTATACCAATAAGTATATATTTGTATGATCACTTTTAATGGTTGATGTATTTCACTGAATTTTCCTCTAATTATTAAAATAATACAGGGATATTGTAGAAAACTTGGAAAATATAAAAATTACTAAGGAACCTCCTTGTATCCATTCCGATAGCCACTGTCAAAAAGACAGACAATAACAAGATTGGCAAGGATGTTGTGGGAATATAAAATGGTGCAGCCACTGTGGCGGTTCCTCAAAAAATTAAAAATAGAATTACCATATGATTCAACAATCCTACTTCTGAGTATTTATCCCAAAGAATTGAAAGAGAGTCTCAAAGAGATATTTATATGCCCATGTTCATAGCAGCAGCATTCACAATAGCCAAAATGTGTAAGCAACCATGTGCACAGTAGAAGAATGGGTAAAGGGAAATGTGGTCTATACAATGGCATGTCACTCAGCCTTAAAAAGGAAGGAAATTCTGACACATTGTGCAGAATGTACGAACCTTGAGGACATTAGGCTAAGTGAAATAGACCAGTCACAAAGTGACAAATACTGTGTGACTCCACTTACATGAGGGACCTAGAGTAGTGAGATTTATAAGACATTAAGTGGAAGGGTGGTTGCGAGTAGGTGGGGGACTGGGGAGAGTAGAGAGCTTTTTAAAGGGGTTAGGAGTTTCAGTTTGGCAGAGTGAAGAGAATTCTGGAAGTTGATTGCACAGCAATGTGAATGTACTTTATATTCGCGAACTGTACACTGCTAAATGGTTAAGGTGGTAAATTTTATGTTACGTGTATTTTACCACAATTAAAAATTAGATAAGAATTATTAAAGAAGTAAGCAAATTGTACATATTTTTTTATTCAAGATAGGAATTTTGGGCAATTCAATTCTAACACATATTACTCCATGCCCTGTTCTTAGCTAGATGATTTTTAAGCCCTGGATACCATTCAGGTTTCCGGATTCTGTATCCCACCGCCTTGTAAAATATGTGGTGTGGACTTCAAGCCTGCTGTTGTCCCTCACTTTCTTGATCCCAGGCTGGGGAAGTGGAGCCCATGATTCATGTGAGAGTCACCCCAGGACCATAGCGTTGCTCTGCTGTGAGTGCTGCGCACCCACTGCTGCATTCTCAACCCTAATACATGAGACCCTGAGAGAGGGCCAAACATCGATTTGTTCCTCTTTATTTAGAACCCAAATGTTGCAGCCTGTAAGAAAGTAAAGGTTAGGCTTCACACATTTGCAGGAATTGGAAAGCTGTCTTTCAGGAGAACCAGGGGAAAACCACAAAACTGATGTGATGGTGCTGTGAAATAAAACTACCCCCATCTTCCTCCACCCACTAACAGCTGACATTTAGATTGCCGCCTCCTTCCCACAGTTGTAGATGCTGGCTTTCTTAAAGCTCTTTGAAGGGCAAAGTCACGGTGGCCTTGTTGTTGAAGTTTCAAAATAGGATCAGATCAACACTTTCCCCTTTGGAAGAGCTGCTTTAGCTGGGGAAGGTGTTAAGTCCTGTTCCAGGCTCAGGAAGGTGCCCCAGCCGCTCATCCTACCTCTCGGTGACTGGCACCAGTATTTTGATCAGCTGATTTGACCCAGAGGTTTTGGGGGAGGCAGTTCACTGATAATTTTGCCCACATGAAATGTTAATTAAAATCCACATTAAAGCTATGCTTCTTAGGAGCAGGAAAGCACCTCTGTAAAGAATGAAGACTACATAAGAGGAAACCTGCAAAGTTAACGTGACATGACATTTTGTGTATCTTTTAAGATCCCATACATATAAATCTAACATTTGCTGTGTCATTAGATTTTTTTTTTTTTTAGATCAGAGAGCAAGGAGTTTTATTTTTTTGCCTTTGCAATTATATTAGATTTCTTTTTAAAATGTCAATTAAAATTTGATTGACTTCTTTCTCATTAGGCTGTTTCAGCATTAGTCTTTTCTTTTTTTATTACCATAGAATTATGTAGTATTGTCTTTTTAAATTTAAACTTGAATAGAAGCCCTGCTTTCCTTACTTAAGGGGGTAGTTACTGAAATATCCTGGAGTTTAGAAGCCTAAATGGGAATGTCCTTCCCCCTTTGGGCAGCGGCTTTGCTGAGTGCCCCCTGGATGCTAGCTGCTGCGGTATGGCAGGGA